ACTAGACCAGGGTACTCAGAGCCCCGTCCAGGCTGGTCTTGCACATATCCAGGGATGGGGAGTCCACAACCTCTCTGAAGGCATAGTTCTCACAGAATGTTATCAGACAGCCATTTACTTCCTAAAAGTATCTCTTTTAGAATGACTGACATAATGTGCTCAGGAAATCAAATGTCCTTTAGCTTATAATGAAATGATATTACTACTCAAACAAAGTAGATTTTTTATCATGGATCTTCTTGCAGTAGCATGTAAAAAGGGCAATTCATGAATGAAGTGACTGGAAATCAGCAGCCAGTAAATTTCAAGTTTGAACCTTTGTATGTGACCAGTGATGTGACAGTTGACAATACTATTAAGATGAATCTGTAACACAATACCTAAATTAGGTATTTGATTCAAATTGGTTTGTTGGGCAAAATAATTATAATAATAATTATTCACATATGGAATTCTATTACTATTTTTTTCAGCTAATACATCAACACAAACGATGGGTCCACGTCCTGCAGCAGCAGCTACTGCGGCCACTCCTGCCGTGCGCACAGTACCACAGTACAAATACGCTGCGGGTGTGCGCAATCCTCAGCAGCACCTCAACACGCAGCCACAGGTTGCTATGCAGCAGGTATGTGATCTGGGGAACTGCTCCGTGCTTTCACTGATGTTCTTTGCAGAGGAAGGTGGTGAGGGTGATGGGAGGGCAATTCAGGCTCTGCATCATGGCAGTAGAGTAAAAGCACTAGGGAGTTTAAGTATATTTGAAGTCCACCTGGGACAGGATATGATCCCATGTTGCTTTGCTCTTTTCAGTCCCCTCATACCTTAGCATAAATTCTTGTGTTTGCTCCTCAGTGGAGCACTTTTTAATAATCTTCAGCATCATCACTCAGCTCTAACTAGTAATATTTGATTCAACAGGCACAGTTGTTATTTTCTTTGATGTTTCTGACACTGTAGGCATTGTGTATGCTGAGTTGTGAAATATTGGCTGTTTGAAGCTGCACCTAATTATGAGTCAGGGTTTAATTTGCAAATATTAATTTGCAGCCTGCTGTCCATGTGCAAGGTCAGGAACCCTTGACTGCTTCCATGTTGGCTTCTGCCCCTCCACAAGAACAAAAGCAGATGTTAGGTACGTACATGATACCTTTCTCTGTGCATTGTAGAAGTACAGTTTTAAGTACATTTTTTCAGTCTTGAAATGCAGAGTAAATGGTTTTAACAGTAGAACAAGTTTGTTTCCTTTATCCCTTAAATTTTGGCTGGATTTGTCCCTGACTAACTTTCTTCTTTCTAGGTGAACGTCTATTCCCCCTTATTCAAAGCATGCACCCTACTCTGGCGGGTAAGATCACTGGTATGTTGTTGGAGATTGACAACTCTGAACTCCTCCACATGCTGGAGTCTCCTGAGTCTCTTCGTTCGAAGGTAGGTGGACTTTTGCCTTGCACTGGTTCTGTAGGTGCTTAAGTCTACATTGATCTAACAGTTGTTAGTGCTGGCACAGTGGAGTAACAGCAATGCAGTGGTGGCTCAGGGCAAGAGTATCCTCTTTCAGAGGGTGACAGTGACTTACATTGCATCAGCTGGAATTGTAATGTTCTCATTTTTCTTTTCAACAATGTAGGCATTGTTTATATGTATAATTTCCACTGTATTATTAACTTAAATATACAAAAAATGCTGAGCTTCCCTTAATTAAGTTTTCATTTGTACTTAACAGGTTGATGAAGCTGTAGCCGTACTACAAGCCCACCAAGCTAAAGAGGCTGCTCAAAAGGCAGTTAATAATCCCACTGGGGTTCCAAGTGTTTAATAAGTAAGTTTGGCCGCTGTAGTTCCATAGGTTGACTAAGGCAGGTGTTTTGTCTGTGGCCTTGTAAGCAGCTTGTGTCCAGGCTCTGTGTCAGCCAGAGGAAGTAGCAGCTATGATAAACAAACTTCTGTGCTCACTTGGTTAGCAAAAACTACTGACGTAGCATTGTTTCTAACAATATATTTAGCTGGCGTTAGTTCGAGGCATGTGTGCAAAAATAGCCAGTTCTGTCAAATGCTGCTATTCATACTATTAAGAGCAACTTGTGGAATTGAAATAAGCTTAAAATGGTACCCCTTTTTCCTTAGAAATTAAAAGAGCTTATTTACACTGTAGCTTGTATATACTTAGCAAATTCTAAAATTGTCTAATAAGTGAAAACTAAACTGTATCTTGTCTTAACTTCACATTTGGGTGAATTTAATGTCAGTTAAAATAGTGATTTTTCTGCATTGCTTTCTGTGGGTTGGTATCTTAACTGTGCATGACAGAAGCAAATGGTGGTACCTTAACAATTTTGACAGGGAAAAAATGTGAAGTTGTGGATAAAAAGGAATCTGTTATCTCTTTTGTCTAGTTAGGTTTTGCCTGTGAACTTGCTTTCCACATTTGTAGATAGCATTTGAGGGTGCCTAATTTAACATTTAATCACATAACTTTTTTCCTTTTGGAGGAAGAATTCAAGTCATGATTTGTACACATTTGTGTTTGTGGAAATAAGTGCTGAATAGATTGTCTCTCCTGAACTAAGATGCCCATACTTTAAGACCATTACTCCATCTGCTCCATGATGTTTTAGTAACTGGAAATTGAAAATATTGCTAGGGTGGTTAGTTGATGAGCCTCAAAAGTAGAGATACCCCGTAGTCAATCACAGTAACGTTGTGCTTAAAGCAGTGCTGTCTGAGGGACTGTCCAGTTCTAGAGTCAGTGTTGTCTTGTCAAGGATCACAGGCTTTTGAAAACCTTTGTGTCCCCTAAAAAGTGTGAGGACCTCTCATACTCTGTTTCTAAAGAACTTTGATATCATTGAAATAGTGAAAGCCCAGAGTGCTGCATGGTATGCAGTAGTAAACATGTCAGAAAACATACAAGGTGCTGCTTTTGAAGCATAACAGCATTGTTTTTCTTCACAGAGCTATCCGGGACTACAATCTAGAACTTCGCTTCACCGAAGAAAAAAAAATCTAAACATGGAAAAACTATTAAATATTGAGAAAAACATTGCAAAATATAAAATAAATAAAAAAAGGAAAGGAAACTTTGAAGCTTACGTACAGAGCAACGCCGGGGCTAGCAAAACAGATGCTAGTCCTAGATTACTTATTGATCTAAAATTTTTTAAAAAAATAGTAAAATAAAAAATACAAATTAATGTTTTTTAAACCCAGGGGAAAAGAATTTTCAGCACAGTACAAAAATTTAAAGCATTCCTTTCTTTAATTTTGTAATTCTTTACTGTGGAAAAGCTCAGATTATCACCACTGTTTTAGTTGACAGTGAGAATTGATAGCTGAGCAAAGAAACATAATTTGGATTATAAAATTCTTGGTTTAATAAAAATTCCTTAAACACTGACTTACTTGTGATGGTTTCTTTTGTACAGTGTGCTTTTCATTCACTTGTCACTCTATAGTATGTTTTAGTGGATTGTAGAGACTACACCTGTAGACTGTCTTCTAAATAATAGAAGTGAAGGGAGGGGGGAAGTGTTTGGGTTTTTTTAATAAATTGCTGCTTGATCTGAATCTGGTCTAATGTACAATAGCACAGAAATAATTCTGTCTTCACTCAGGGCTGATGGGGGTCTTCAAGTCAGTTTGTGTCCCTAAAGGGGTTTGCAGTGAAATGGCCAATGGCACTGAAGTGGGAAGAGGCAGCAGTAACACATGAGCTTTTTCATTTGCTACAAAACCATACTGAGGTTGGGAGTTTTGCGGGATTAATACTTAAATGCTTAATCAAGCTAAGTGTTAAATGCATAAACGAGACAGTAAAATCGCTTTTGTTGTAAAACAGCTTTCACTGTGTAAATTAGCAGATACACTGAAGTTTGTCCATCCACAGATGGATTATCCTACAGTTGCTGCCTTGCTTTTTTGTTTTCCCCTTTTTGCAGACCTGTGGAATAAAAAAAGGGTATTTTCTATGCAGTTTAGCCCATAATTGACTATAAGTTACTTTTTCAAAATCGGTAATGCAAAAGGAGAAATGAAGCAGTGAAAGTGGCATGTCCTGCTTTTACAAAGAAGAGGGTAAAAGCTGGCTGGCTGGGGTGGGGAAGAGGCACAAAGATCTGTTAGTTGTGGAGGAAGGCATGACTGGTAGCCACCGCAGTCTGCTATGTTTCAGTTGTTATATGTAAAGAATACAGATTCTATGGAATTCACAAGAAGGGATTAGTTTGTTCTGGAAGTCTCTGAAATCTGTGTGGTGGGAATGCCAGTTCTCTATTGCAGTCAAAGTCCTTTAGTATGCTTTCTGAAGTCCCTAAAAGACAGTTCAGGAGCCCCCTTATTTTTCCACTCTTGCAAAGGGGAAAATTTCAGGGTTTCTGTTACAGAATTTGAGAAATAAGCCTAGCATAATGAGGTGAAATTGGTCTGGTGTAAATGGAATCGAATTAAAATCCTTTGCTGTAAAAAGCATTAGGTTAAACTTATGTAATTCTTACACTCAGTCCTGCCCTGATGGCAGCAGACTGAGATAGTCTTTAGTTTGCAGTCTTGCTGAGGTATGTGACTAGAATTAAGAATTTTTGAAACTGGTTGGTAAATCCTGCAAAAAAGGCAGTTCAAGCAAGATATGTCCATGTTAAGAGGCTGAATGTATAACCTTGATTTTATGTAATGTCAACTATAAAAGCATTTAAACTTTGGAGACAGTTTTAATGACCTAAAATTACTTAGTGCCATAATGGGAGTGCTGAAGATTCTGATATTAAAGGTTTAATGGAAGATCTAAAGGATATTACAAAAACCTATTTTCAGAATTCTCAGGGCACTAGCAGGAAAGTAAGAGGCCACATCACTTCTGCTCGTTTTCTAGATAAGTTGTGTGTTCTGTGAGTCTGCTGGAGTTAACCAAACTAATTTTTGTTTTGTAAGAATGAGCAAGTTAATGTCTTGCCAATAGGGTAGCTGAAAAACAAGAACAGGAAGTCTTTGAGTTTCTACAACACTTCTGTACGTGTTTCATGCACTAGCATCTGCACCAGCATGAAATACTGGGTAACTTCTGTGATGGAAGAAAACAGCAAGGCACTTCTGCTAAGGTGATCATGACAGCCTAAGAAAACAAAGCCATAGGTTGATTTAGTTTATTTCTTCACAGTCTTGCTTACATAGTAATTCCCTGCTGTATACTACAGATTCCTATTCAATATATGTCTTCTATTTAATTTCTAAATCTTAAAGATGGCAAACAAGGCATTTGTTAGTGCCTCTACCAATGCATCTCTGGAGTACTACTGTAAAACAATGCAGCATGCAGAAAAATCAACTTTTTCAATAGTAGAGAAGTGTTCCTTTGAGTTAATAGGCAGCCTGACTGGCAGGCACTTCCTGTTGCTGCACGTTGCCTCTAGTATGTGTCAGAGGGTTACGCTGATCCTCTGCACCCTGCTCAGCCAGTGCTAAGCTGATTTTGCTGGATCCTCTGGCATTTCATTCCTTAAGTCCTGGGTCTTCCGTTCTGACCACAGCAAACACTTCAGAGTTTAGCAGCAGCCAAAAGCCTGCTCATGAAATGGATGGTGATTTGAATGAATGAATGATATTCTATTTGCCACCCACTTTCCCAAGCAAGATGTGGTTTTGTGACCAACTAAATCAAAGGTTTGGTGAAGAGGTAATCTGGATTGCACACATGCTCTTTGCTGCTCTGCTGAAGTCTAGGAAATTCAGAGTTCACTGAGTCCAGGGGAGGAGGGGGCAAGGTGCTGGAAATAAGGATGTTCTAGAGTCTGGCAATGTCTTGTTGCCAGTTTGTGCTAATTAGATGTTTACCCTTGAATAAATGGTGTCTTCCATCCTTGCATCTTGAGTGTCTTTGGTAACATTCTCGGTGATTGTGATGGACAGCTGGATGTTCAAAGGTAGACACTCAACATTTTGAGTTAGGAGTCTTGGAAAAAAGATTTCCTGAAATCTACATCTAGTAGACATATTCTTGCTTGGGATAACTGAAAAAAAATCCAAAATTACATACAATTTGTATTTTTTTACAATACAATCTGTATTTTTTTTTCTATAGGTTTAGGAGTTGTGGTCCAAACGAATATGCTAGAGAGAGTTGCAGTCCTTGGGACCATAATTCTCCCTAGACTTTTGTAGTTGTATGTGAGTCCATGTGGTATGATTACCTCACTGAAAGAAAGCTTTTAAGTCTCACGTTTCTTCTACATGACATGGTCAATGAGAAAGAGTAGCTGTATGGAAATGAAAATGCATCTGGAGGGGCTACAAATCCTTAGAATATTGCATTTGAGGTGATTTCAAATTTGAAACAAATTTTTCCAGCTGCACTAAGAACACAAGGTACACATGTAATTACAACTTGGGCAACAAGAACAAAGAAAGAATATTTTCAGAAAAGTAATTTGAAATTTAGATTTCTCACTTGTATTGGGATTGAAAGTAGTCATTAAGAAAAAAACAATTGACAAGCTAGGCCACCATAATGGCCCTTTTGTACATTAAGCACTAAGAGCAGTACATCTGCCAAATGGTCTCCTGTTTCCCATGTCACCTGCTAAGGAAACATCCCTAATCCTGTCCTGTTCCAACTGCCTATAGCTGGCCAGACATCTGTACTTTTTTATAGCTCTGAGCACATTTTAAAATATACCACATGATATCTGAGCATTCAAATACCAAAAATGATGCCCTGGGCAGGCTAAATGGCTGTGTCACATTTCAATAACTGGGACCTTGGGTTACATGTGTTCTAGGCTAAACCTGAAGTCACCAGATGACCTCAAACAGAGACTTCCCCAAGCATATTATGTTGTCATGTCTGAATGGAAGCTTACTTAATCCTGTCTCTTACCACTGCTTTGTCTCAGAGAAAAAAGGAGGGGATGGACAGCAATGGCAGAGGATGGGGTCCTCAAGGTCCAACAGCCTTCCCACTGGGGAGAGGGAGGCAAAGATGGTGCACTTGTTGGAAATTATAAACTTCTAAAGTTTTTTTATGTAATTTTAGTCAGGACATTGCTCACCTCTGGCCCAGGAAAAGGAGAATTGAAGTTTCTCTTCAAACAACTCTATTCACCAATGCTGGGTGAGATGAAGCCTGATGAGCTTAACATTTACAGTTTGGGAGTGGCCACAAGATACACAGGAGGTAAATACTAAAACATCACCCTGTGGTGTGGTCAGAGACACCTGGTCTGGGAGAAGATGGATGAGAGAACTACAGAATAAGGACCATCATTCTATTAACATCAGAGGCAAAGGGATCAATAACTAATAGGAGATTGAATTCTAAGAATTGTATAATTTAGGACCAATGAATGAGAATTTCTTTAGGTTTTTATGTATAAATATGTGAAAAGTCTGGTAAAGAACTATGTGTGATGGAGTGATTTTCAATGCTGAACCCAGGCATATGAGGATGAAATTTCTATTGCATATCCTGGTCAAAATAATGTAATGCTAATTCTCTTATCACTGAAAAGATGTTAGAGAGTTTCTGTTTTTCCTGCAGTTTCAGTGACACACTCACCTTTGCTTCCCCAAAAACCATGTCCCCAGCAGTGACATGTGGGTGGTATAGAACAGCAGCAAAGCCACACCATGTCCCTACCCTGCAACCAGGATGCCACCCAGTGTGTCCTGGTATAGTCCAGTTCCCCTCCTACAATTTTCAGGAATGCGGTTTAGGCGGATTGTAGGAATCTCCTGGTCCCCTCTGAGATGAGCAGATGAGAAGAGACCAGCAACCTAGAATGATAAAAGTAGAAAATCCCTGTGACCTAGAGCATAGATCTTTCCTTTGTTTTCCTATACCTCACATTTTCCCATTAAACTCATTCTGCAGGTGCTTAAGCTCCCAGGTTACAAAAGTGGAGATATGGATTGCCAAAATATCTTAGGATAAAAACAAGGATACAGAGAGCAGCCTTGCTCAGGAGTGGAAGAAAAGCTCTTCCAGGGCTCCTTGGGGTGCGGGGAGCCTTATCTCCCAGGTACACCAGAGCAACTGTGACACCAAGGCTACGAAGTTGGCTTTATAAGAGGATTGTTGTGGGGTGCTTCTGAAGTCACTGGACTTGGCTGCACAGATGAAAAATAAAAACAAATCAAGTTATCAAACGCATTATACAATTTTATTTTACTTACTCTCCTCCATGTAATTCACAATGCCCACAGTTAATCCTGTTTCTTGAAAAATATGTATAAGCCTTATTTTACTGAGAAAGGGTTTTCCCCAGGTCATCCAGTCAATCACAGCCTTTACAAAGCAATTTTCTTCCTCTGAAAAAGGTCTTTTTGGTGAGGCTAGCATCACATGCTTACATCAGGCCCTCAGTTGCAGGGCAGGCATTGCAGTGGCATCATTTCCCTGTTAATGAGCTCATTCCACATCTCCAGCAGTGCTGCTTGTCTAAGTCTGCAAGGACTTTCACAAGAGAAGACCCAGTCCTGCAATGCCTTTCCCTCAAGGGTGCCAGAAACATGCAAAAGGAAGCTGTGAAAAACAGCAAGAATAAATCACCCTTATTGTCTGGGAATTAGCTATAAATGAAAGTCCTAGGCCAGAGATGGATGTACCACTTTAACTACACTTGACCTCCAGTGAGGTACTTTGTGAAAAAAGGATTTTGTTGTCTTACAAAGCTGCTGTGTACCCCTTTCTCCGGATGGTCGCTAGTTCATGTTCCTTGAGAAACAGTGAATTACTATCACTTCATAATGAATTACCAATTCGTAGGCTCCTTCCTCGAGCTATTCTGAGCTCCCTCCCTGCCCGGCCCCAGCGCTTCAATGCCCATGTCACCCCGCGGGCGCGGTCTGAGGGCCCGGGGCGGTCTGAGGGCCCGGTCTGAGGGCCGGGGGCGGTCTGAGAGCCCGGGGCGGTCTGAGGGCCGGGCTCTGTCTCAGGGCCCGGCGCACTCTCAGGGCCCGGTCTGAGGGCGCGGTGCTGCTGCCGGGCCGCAGCGGGCCCGGTGTGCGGAGGGGCTCCTGCTCCGAGGGCGCGGCTCGGCCGCAGCTCCGAGCAGGCGAAGGTGCGCCTGGAGCCACCCCCAGCCCTGCCCTCACACCCGGCCTCACACCCGCCTGGTTCTCCCGATGCTGTCCTGTTAGAGGGGCAGAGCGTTGCTTGTGGAGCACGCGTTTGCAAGGTGAAATCCAGCAGCGACTGAGAGGCAAATCCGGAAAAAAAAGCCAAGGCTTGTGGCAGAAGGGTACGGTAAGCCGGCTAAATGGAAAACATTAGCCAAGCAGCAGCAGCTGTTGGCTCCAAGTGCCTCTTTTCCTTGGTCTCTGGGAGAGAGGTGCAGCTGCTCAATTTTGGTCATTAATCCCATTAACAACTCTGGAAAGTTTATGGAGGTTAGTCCAGGCAAATTGCAGAGTTGATTGCAGGAATTTTTTTTGACAGGCTGTAGGTTAACCAAGTGTTGGATCTTGAATTGACTAAGTCAATACCTCAGGAGTGACCCTTTCCACACAGTTACAAAACAGCTGGAACACAGGCTTGAAGTATTCCAAGGAACAGTGAGCCTCAGAGAATAATGTATTGCCCCAGGCAACAGAAGTGGATGATTTCAGGGTGAATCTGCCTGTTTATCTCTACTTCTGCTTTGTTCCTTGTTGAGTTGCCTCTGTCCTTTTGCCCTCTATCCTTCCTCTGGATTTCTTAGGAAAGTGAAGGAGAGCATATGATGCTGAGTTTTTCTGTGAAAGCAGTGTGTCTGTCAGTCTTCTCTTTGCTAGCCTTCCCTTTGCTCTCTGGCTGGCCTTTGCCAGTCTTTGGCTCTGGGTGCACACTATTATCCTTTCTGAGCAGCATAATTTTGCCTCACCAGCCCTATTTTAGGGCCCTTTTTGGTGAACGCTTATGCTGGTGGCTTAGGTGGGTGCTTCTCTTGGCAATTTCCTGGCTGTGCTCTCAGTTGCAGTGATAGGACCACTCTGAAGCAGTTTTTCAGCCAGTAAACTTGGATGGGTATCAGTCCATCTCTCCCAACTCTGTGTGACTGCCCAAACAGTTGGAGAAGCACAGTTAAAAGGTAGATGAGTCACAGCAGGGCTGCCATGAGAAGAAATGTTTGCTGAGGTGTGCCTTTGGAGTTGTGGCTCTGCAATTCTGTTCCCTGTGGGACCTCTCACAGTAGTATTTTGCTTTGGTTAATGGAGCATTTTGGATAGTCTATCTGAACTAATAAATCAGCTTATGCATTTGCTTCCATTTTTAAAAGGCCTACTGTTTCTTGCTCAACAGGTTTTAACATCATTAGTGCTCTCAGCAAAATTGTTCCTTCTCTGCATTCCTGGTCACAGAGTTTGCCTCCTGCTGGTCTTTAGAACTTGTTAGCTGATTTTTGTTTTCAGTTCCTTCATTCCTGCTGTTGGTAGCTCCCGCACTTGGTCTTGAAGTTTACAACTACACTGCTGTCTCTTAATTGCCTTCCCTATTATTCTGTGAGGTTGCTTGTGTATAATTATTATATCCTGTTCTGCTTATTTTGCTGAAATACTCTGTTAATGTAGAAAAATGCACATGTATGAGAAGCCTTACTCCAGGATAAAGTAATTTTCACCACATGTGACCAGATCACATATCATGATCACAGTGTTCCACAGACGCAAAATTCTGTGATGCAAAGAATGTAAATTAGAAATAAACTTCCCTCATGGATGGATTTCTGCAAAGCTATACCTGAGGGTATTTCTTGAATGCTACTCTGGAGGGTCTGTCTCTGGCTTCTGTTGGATGAGCTGATGTGGGAAATGCAAGCATAGAGAGCTCCCAAGGCCTCAAACATACAAGCTCAGAGATAGAGATGGATACAGTGTTTGACCTAGACCTTGGAGAAGGCTTGGAGCTGTAGAATAGAATAGTGAAGCAGACATGAAATAAGAATAAAGATTTGTAGTTTAAGCAGAAATATGCCTCATGTAAGCAAATAAATATGTTAAGCAAGACAGTAGAAGATTCTAACGTTTAACGATAGTACTTGTTGAAGTGTTGGTAAAAAGTAGAAGATACAGCACAAAGTTTCCGTAGAGCTATATGACTGGATAGAAAAAGACACACTGGATAAGAAACTTATAAATTCATTGTAACTGGAATTAAAACACTTCTAATGTGATGTCTTTGAATTTAACAACCTTGCAGTCTCACCCTTCCACGAGACCAACTTTTGCAATAAACTATCTTTTAAATGCCTCTTCAGCTGACCCTGTGTTTCTGTATCCTGAACAAGCTGCTGAACCAGTTGTGCCCCTTTCAGGGTAGCAATCTTCAAAGCTCTCCTATTCCACCTCACAAGCTCCTCTCCTGACTTGTGATGCAAAGGACACATAATTCCTGTTTGTGGCTGTGCCTTACCTGCCCTTTTTCTTTTGCTGTGCATTTTCCTGCTTCCCATCATGCTTTATTCTGACAGTGCTTCTGTTGTTTGACATTCCCAGTCTCTGCTTCCTTGCTGTCTCCCAGAGCAGTTGTTCTCTTAAAAAGGACAGTCTGAAGGGAGCAGCTGTTCGGAGGCCACTGTGTGGTGATGGAGCATATGATGGTTTGGACACACTGGAGAATGGGGAGGTGCAGATATACTGACAGTGAGCAACTTACCCCTTGGTGCCTCACCTCCTAAGGGATTTCTCAGCTTTAAGCTGAGGATACAAGGAAAATCATATAGAGGAAAGTGTGATCAACCAATAATAATATATTAAAAGAGATCTTGCTTAAAGTGAGTTGCTTAGGTAGGGCTGGCAGAAATGCTAAGGAGAGTGGTGCAACTTCAGCCCTTCTCCTCTTCCTCAGACACTTGGCTGTGGATTGACAGAAGCTGCCAGAAGGTCTTGGTATGAGTATTTACAGCCTTCACCTTCCTCTGGGAGACGGGTTTTGAATGGACTCTAAGAGAGTCCAGAGGTGGCTCTGTGTTCTCCCCCTTGCCTCTTCCTTTAGGAGCTAGTGCATTTGATTCCTTTACCAATCCAACTTTCTTTTCCTCTTCTGTCTTGATATTTTATTAAGTATTAGCAGTGGGAAGGAGAACTGAAGGTCCAGTCTCCCTTTGCTTGGGATGAATCCGACACACGTTGGGCTGTTTGCACTTGCTGTACTGAGATTTGTGCAGCCATTCTCTGCAAATGACTGTGAACACTTTCAGCTGGAGTGTGGATGGCAGATGGACATGCATTTGAAGGATCTAAGCTTTGGCCCTAGATTTACCTAAGGACTGACAGGGACTGCTCTGTGCTGTTGTCAGGCTCTGTCTTGAGAGTTCTCTGGGGATTGCACACTGACCAGAGCATCCCTAATAGAGCTCTGAGGATTTATTCTGCTTATGGAGATGTAAGGCTCTCTTGCAAGACTAAGTTACAGTAGCTTCTAGAGTGGGATCAAGATCATCTGGACAATAGTTTGTGCTTTAAAAATGTCACTGGATTTCCAGGCCCTTCCTGATTTCTGCCTTTGTGATGTTTGCATTTGGCTCTTCAGTTAAGCAGGTGCTCAACAATTTAGCACTTTTGTTTCTGTTATTCTGTCTGGCTTCGAGCTCTGCGCATCACCAGCATGGCCCTAGTGAAACAGCTGATCTAGATGGCACAGGCAGGACTAACACCAAAGGGCAAACCTATGGGACTAGACTAAGTAGCAGATTTGGTCAACTACACTTTGAAACTGATATCTCCTGCTTAGGAGGGGAAAGATGCAGAAAGATTAAAAAGAAACAGCAACAACTATGGCCTGTGTCTTTACTCCTCTTTTTGAAGAAAATAGCTTTTAGAGCTTAAAATTGTCATATTTAGGGAAGCTACTCTATCTATTTTAGGTGGAAATCTTTTACGAAAACTAAGTACCTCTTCCACCAGGTTAGAACATCCTATCTGGGTTTTCAGCACCATACACAAATACATACTTAAATTTTATGGGCATTTTCCTTTAATTCTTTGGGATGTGAAAAAATATAATTGGTTGCAAGAAGTTTCTCTTCCCTTAGCCCAGATCCTGAGGACAGAGGATTGCATTTCAAGAAATTTGCCCAGCAGCTGGCACAGAGATTAATTAATTATTTTTTTATATAGGCCAAAGTCTCAGTTTGTGTGAGTGATGATAACAGACAGCACCACTTTCTGTAGGTGAGGCATGGCCTGAGCACAGAGGGAAGAGAGAGGACCACCTGGTTGTCAGACTCCTGGCAAATTTTCTTGCTCTGTCTCCTCAGTTTGCCTGCCTGTAGAGCAGAGATAAGTTTTCCCTGGGGGAAAATCATGTATGTGAAGGGCTTTGAAGACAAAACCCACACTCACTACTGCAGTTAGCTTTACATTAAACCAAGGTATGTCGTGTTATCTAACCCTTTTATGCTGTTTGTCTCTGAGCTATTCACACATCATATGTAAAAATTAACACCTTGAAAATGCTCGTGTGTTGCCAGCATGGGGAAAAGGGAGTTGTAATTCTAAGCTTCACTCCCGGTTTTAGCTAACAAAAAGGAAAGGTATTGCTAGTTCTTGCAGTACTAAACTTTTTTCCTTCATACTTAGTTGCTTGAGTCATGTGAAAGACCTAGGCAGCAAGGGCCAGAGGGGAAAATGTCATCTTTCTCATGATTTAATGACACTAATTGCTGAGTTGAATACTGATGCATAAATTTAATTAGTAGTAATGTCTCAGCATTCTGTAGGGAGTCTCATTTTACTGATCAAATGACACATTGTTTTGATTTAGGTTAAGAAATGTTTCCAGGCAAACTTGCTGTATTTTAATGTGTTTAGTACTGTGCATTTTGAGAAAGTGAACATAGCTTATCCTTCTCTTGAGAGTGTTTGCCTATAGAAGAAAATGTTTATACTTTCAAGTGACCAAATACTGTCCAAACCTATTGGAGCCATCAATTGTAAAATAGTGTAATTTTGATTTCTAGGACTTCCAGGTCTGTTTATAGATGATGTAAGGTTTGTACAGAGGCATTATGTCCATATTAGCCAACTGTAATAGCAGGAGGAACAATCAAACTTTCAGATAATTTGTGTTCATTAAAGATTTTTGGGTTTTGGTTGGTTTGTTTCTTTGTTTTGGTTTGGTTTTGGTGATTTTTTGTTTGGTTTGGTTTGGCTTTGTGTCTTTTTTTCCCTTTTCAATATTAGATGATCCAATAACTTTTATC